AGCTCTCGCCAGTTTGGTTTCATTGTTTCTAGGGCCTGGCAAAAAATAAATGATTCAATAGTTGAGTAATCAAGCTCAGGAACGACGTATATCTTATGTCCAGCTTATTTTCTGTTTTGCTGCTAATAAAGTAAGCTTAGGCCTAGGGCAAACGTCAAACTTTCCATGCACCGAACTTAATTACATCAAAGAATGCCWTCTCATTATCACCTGATATCCATTCTTTTAATGAGTTTGGTGCATGGAAAGTTCGACGTTTGCCCTACGCCTTATCTATTTTATTACTTTCATTGCAGTAAAAATACTAAAATACTCTATACAAAAACAAAACTAGCCCTGTGGGGTGGCTGGTGGTGGGTTGTGTACACGTTACAAAAATCCTGTGCAGGAGAGTAGTAAGGTCGAAATTCGTTCTCGCCCGAGTCTTATGCAGGACGCAGGTAGTAACCTTGACATAACATGGCAGAAAATTTTCTGTAAGCGAAACATTTTCTGCACAAAAATTTCACTCATAGAAATCTTGGAGGTAGAGCCAAAAGAGTTTTAAATAAATGAGTCCCCCATGATAGGCATCATTTTGATCAAGTTTTTTGTGGAGTTCGTGGTTTAAAAGACTATGAAATTGTCACTTTTAAAGTGAGTTGGTTGTTTAAATATGGCGACTGAAGTTTCCTCCCTTGTCAGAGTATATATACATAAGATCAACATCAGATACCGTAGGGAAATTATATAGGGAAACAAAGGCGCGCGTGAAAAAAATGTTCTAGAGCATTTTTCATTGCAGATTTTTTTGCTCTTTCRCATTACAGAGGACATTATCTTGATCTCGAATTTAAAAAATAATTAATTATTTAATTTTTCCAATTTTATTTTCACCATCCACTTTAATCTAAATTGGGCTCCCTGTGGCTCATATACTTGAATGCCATTTTAGGTGTCATTTTCATTCAGCTTTGCATACTGCTGTATATAATAGACTATCAGTATTCAAAAACATGTGACATATCTTCATGAGTGTTTCCTTTACTGAAAAAAGATGCATATTCTATGTATTCGATTAAGCAAGAAAAGATCGACTTTGATAAAGATTAATCTTGTAAGATTACCACTGGAAAAAGGAAGTAAAAGAAGCCAAACAGAACAGGAATTTTTTTAAGTACTAAGATGAAATGGTACATTTGAAAGAAAGCATTTTTTTACCACAATACTATCAAGGACAGAAAAAAAGAATATTCATGCCCTGTGTTGAAGGAAAAAGGAAAATTATACAACTATATAATAATCTTCCTGCAGTAAATTTGTAAGATTTTCTTTTTTTTCATGGTTCATTCAAAAGAAACTTTGGTGGAGCGATATCTGCAAAAGTTTTCATTGTAAATAATATAGCAAGGTTTTTTGGTTTTCACACTTAAATAAATGGAGCTTGACATTTTGGCAACACTGGTGGCTGCCTTCATTTGTAAAAAATGGTAAAAAAGTAGTATAGCAGGAAATGATAGGTGAGCAGAGGAGTAAAAACAATAAATGTGAAGAGTATTGCTRTTTTATTTTTRTTTTATTCAAAGATTTGCCCAAAAKCAGGTGAAGARTACAATAGCACACTCTTTGTTACCTACTAGATATTAAACACCTAACTGTCCCGTCTCGATCCCAAAATAAGAATGATTAACCAAACCTGAAAAATCCCTGGTATATTTATAATGGAAAAAATGATAAATAAACAATAGAAAAAGGAAAAAAATCAAGAAACTATCCTACATAAAAAATTACAACTGGCCATACTATTAATACAACATTTCACACAAATCAACTTAAGAGAACAGATATTATTTCCATATTCTTTGCTCCGCTATGTTGGCAGTAMAGTGGTAAGTAGTAAGTGGAACAAAGTTGCAGTCCCTTAAGAATTCCTGAGGGATCTATTGCTTAATGCCAGGTTGAGGTAATTAACTGACTCTTTAGTTTATGCTTGAGAAGGTTAAACCTTCATACAAAAAATTTTCCCAAAAAACATCATTAATCTCATCATTATTGTTCCTTATTTGCTACAAGGGAATACTAAACAAATACTTATAAATTCTGTTTAGTGTATAATGTTAATGAGTGGGAAAGGGTGGGGATAAGCCTGAGTTTATTATGTATACTCAATTTTTTMTATTTTTTATGATAAAATATTAATAAACTTGCAAAAATGTACAAACATTGTTTAAGATCAGTAAGATGATAGACACATTGATGTGACTGAAAGTCTGGTAACATTTGTTTATTTAATTATGTTATACTTACTTCAAAATATTTATACAGAGACATATCATCTCATTGAGCAAGTTAGTTTCAAAAGAGCCATGTATCTATGTTATATATATTTATAGCAAATGTGAACKAATTACTCTTAGTCAAATCCAACTAGTGGTTTATTGTCGATGCTGCATTCTAATTGGATGAGCTACTACTAGTCTATATAGTTACTAGTAGCAAAAAGCGTGGGCTTTGAAAACCCAAACATCTACATGACTGACTGGTTGAATTTGACAAAAATCCAACTTCAAATTCAACTAGTGGTCTATGTGAAAATTGGAATTAGCATATGACTTTTGGATTCTTTTTGAAAATTGCTAAGCTCTTTTATCAATCTGATATTTAGGAGTATGGTGTTAAGTGTGTGCTATTGTAAGGTGCATACACTAAAGATAGTTTCAACAAAACTGTAAGTTGAACCATAGTTAATGGAGCTGAATGGTTTGGAAACTCCATAKAACAAAGCTATTGTTTTGCCTTTGATGTTGAACTGTACCATCACGTGTTACTGACGGTGCACAATGAAACAAAGCAAGTATAGCTGAAAATACTCACTTATTATTTTTCATGTATGAACATTTTGAAAGTGAAAACTTTCATTCAGTGATCAAAAATCATGTTGATAGATATTTCTGCAACAGATGATAAATAAGGAAGCATGAAAAAAGGCAATTCCCTTTTCAATAAACAATATTAATCATATAGGATTAATTAACAAATTACAATTTTAAAACGATTTTTAGGGGGAAAAAACTTCTATATTCACTAATACTGTGAAAACATGGAGCAGCTTTTCCTTATCTGTGCAAGGTCAACATGATATAACAATAAATTAATAACAAT